TGTATGAGCGCCTCAATCCAAAGCAGAATGTAGAATGCATGTCATTTGGTAATTTGTTACGTAGTAAAACAAACTAGGGTAGTATCTGTATTTTAATTGGCTAAATGAATATATATAGAAATATGGTCACTGAATACATCAGTCTTACAGCCCTCCAGTGACGAGCGCTGCTGTGGCGTTGATATGACATAAATAGTTTGGGGTAATGTCGTTCAAATGAAACATGGACGGCTACAGATTAAAACGATAAAGACGCTTTAGACGGCTTTTGTGTCACCCAATTATGCCAGAAAAGCGCCTCGTTACCGAGAACGCGAGAATTGATGAACAGGCACTCACCTATAATTCCTAATTTTATCGGTGCATTTGTGATATAACTTCCGTGATATTGCCTGCAAAGACATTATTATTAAAGAAATTGTATTCCTGGTACTAATATTAAATATCCAACAAGGAAAACACTGCTAGCTAAAATGGTGTGGCTCCTGGTAATAATATTACGCACAAAACAGAAATAAGCGAAGGTCTGATCCCATATAATAGACACTTCCATTGTACCCGGCCTACAAACTAAGTTTACTATGTTTATTTGCACCTCTATGTGGTTGTTTATCTAGTAAACTTGTTTTGACATTTTTCGCTGACATGACTGGAACATCAGGGCGGGTTCGACATGCCCGCAGCAGATGCTTACCCTTCACGTGCACCTGGTGCGACTCCCTCATGGGGGTTTATGATGTTCCGATTCCATCGATTTTGTTAGTATATTTTTCTTGACTACTGGTTGTTGAAGAATGGCTGATTGGTACTTCTATAATTACTAAAGTCGTCAAGTCCACGAGACGAAGAATTCACTACAATGTGAGTGTGAACTCGGTTAGCATGAATATATTGCTATCAACTATTGATAAACTTGGAATGCAAATATGTGGATTATTTAGCCAATAAAACGTACGTATATTCATTTAAACTAACATTCTAGCATATGTATTTAACCAGATATGTGTACATTTACCATTCAGTAACGATATTGGACGCCATCTTGAATTTGAAGGTGACCGCAATGATTTTTGTTGAGCACACCAAAAAAATATTATTTCTCATAAGACATAGATGCAAAATAATATAATGAACATAGTTTGTAGAGTGGCAGCAAAGTTCTCGATTTCCGTCTCTTTGCAGACGATACAACTCTGTTTAATTCTGTCAAAGACAACACAATCTATTTCACGGACATTAATGACGAATTCCAGAAAGTATGTGAATGGTGTAATGCTAACCAACTAACTATTAACACACAGAAAACAAACTACATGATTATAAAGTCACCACAAAGAACAGTTACTACAGAGGGCAGTTTGGTCATTAATGGGTCACCAATAGAGGGCGTCCGTTCCACAAAGTATTTAGGCGTTACTGTTGACAGTAATTTGACGTGGAAACCTCATATAGATTTACTAACTAAATTAATCTTCAGGAAATTGGGTATTATCTCACAGATTCAGCATTATGTTCTAAGATCAATTCTTCTTCTTCTGTATAATTCCTTAATACTTCCTCACATTTCTTACTGTTTAGAGATTTGGGAAACACATACTCGTCTTTCCTTGAACCAATTTTGCGCCTCCAGAAAAAAAATCGTACGTCTCAACACATTCTCCGACTTTCATGCTCACTCTCCCCCTTTGTTTAAAAAAACTTGGAATATTAGATGTTTACAAGTTATGTAAGCATCAAACATGTCTATCTGTTTTCGATCTAAAAAAATAGGCGTTTTGCACATACAATAAATCATTATCTGGACCCAATATCCCACAATTATGCAACACGTTTAGCAATGGCTGATAGTTTTTATATTCCCAAAATGAATCTAACTTTATGCCAAAAAACAATTAAATTTACTGCAACACACCATTGGAATTCCCTTCCTAGCACAGTAAAAAATGAAATGAACAGACACACATTCAAATCCAAATTAAAAAATGCTAAGTCAGTGAAACGACGAAATGTCTACTATAATTTCATTTCATATTTTTTTTGTATATATATATATATTTGTAAATTTATTGTTACTATTCTGATTTTGCTTGATTAATTTTTTTTCCAAGTAATTGCCAAAAATGCTTCAATCAGTTTATTTTCTTTCATCTCCTTGTCAATTTAGGATTTTGAATCTATTCAATTATTTAAATGTACAAATATGTACCTGTATATAACTTATTAATGTTATTATTTACGGTTTATTTTATTCATTCTTTACAAAGGGTCATGGACTAGACTAGTTTTAGGGAACTATTTTCATGATCCTCACTATATACAATTTATATAAATATCTAAAAATATATATATTTAAAATTCAAATTATACACTTATTTACATAATTTTATTTACTCATTTGTTTATATATCACATGTATTTGTATATTATTATATGTTTATAGTGAAATAAACATATATACATATAAAATTCATTCACCTGAGATCCAGGCAAGCTATGGGAATCAGACTTTCGCTTAAAAGTAAATTTGCTAGTAATTGTCGTGACCAGTTGTGACCTGTAGATAATATTGCGTTCATTAACTTCACACTCTGTCCATATTGTTCTTAACGCGATTCTACGATTCCCCATTTTTTTAATATTAGCAGGTTCGGATACGTTATTATCAACCTTGATACTTTTCTGCTTATAATTCACGTGTTATTATTTTTTTTTACACAATAATAAACGGAAAATTCGCTTTTGCTCATTTCACAGCCAGCCTTTCAGTTAGTATGAAACTACAACCTGTCATGTGTTGTTGCTTGGACTTATTACTTATCACAATCCTGAAAATACAGTTTGAAATGTTTGGCAATGTGGCTTATATTTACATAAGTTTAAAAAGATGGCCGTGATTGGTCACCTGAATTGAATGACCATTACAAAAAAAAAATGGCACAAGAAATTTCCATATATACTTACGAATCAAACATATAGGCGAGTCCTCCAGTAAGGTTGTTAGCTGCCGCTTTCAAAGAATCAACACTCAGTTTCAATATCAACAATTGGTCACACCTGAACGAGGCTGGCTTCCGGCAAACAACTGCTGTTTTCCCCATAGAATGTGTGTTACTATACTCACACTTATCAGACCATGATTCTTCATTGACCAACGAACAGTTACTTATATAACTATCGTTACCATCTTTGTAATAGCCGTCGAAATTCAAGAGTTTTTCCTTTGCCAGAATTACATTTTTCAAAAGACTGATTGCCTCTCTCGTATAGTGAAGCTGAATTTTTACGTAAGCATCACCTACCCAGGCTGCATAGAAGAACACTGAATATGTACCATTTCCGTAGTCAACGATGCGACCTGCTGTACTTTTTCGGAGATCCATATTTACCATTGTTGGCAGAAATAAATCCCCACCCTTGTTTCGTTTGCGTCCATTGTTGTCATACGCTTCAATCAACACATGGACATACTCTCCCATTTTCACAATTCGTGAATCAGAGTGCAAAAACATTCTGTAAAAAAATGTTAATTCAATACGTTTTAGGTATTACTATGCCCATGTACCATAGAGGAGGGGGAAAAGAAACTTGCGCATATAAGGGATTGACAAACAATAAAAAATAACACAATTATAAATGAAGAAAACGAATTTGCACCGTTTTATTGTCATCGAGTTTTTAATGGTTGACTCCTAACAATGGAAATGCAGTACGATGTTTCTTTGCATAATTAGGGTGAGGGTTGATTGAACTTGCTAGAACGAATGAGTCGCCATGAATTGTGCTCTACAGTAAATATAATAAAGTAAATTTTATCTCCCGGACTGAAATATTCTGATTATCAATAACCCTAACGTGTCAAATTACTGTCATGGTAATCTGCTTAATCTGCGTGTTCCTTTGTCTCGTACGTTGGTTCATGCTGCGTGCATAAGTACAACGTAAACGCACACAAGGCTGTTACAGTCAACTATAAAGCACCTAAAGAAATGCTTTTCTTTTCTCCAGTATCCTTTACTAGTGTAGAAATGCAAATTTGAATCTGTTTGCACTTTTGCACTATTTAAAAGTACATGAACAAGATTTTGGAACTGTGTTATTACATCGTTATTATTTTATACATTGTTCGCCTCATTGTTTGAAGGTAGAAAATGTTATTTTAAATATCATGCTTTTGTGTCAGATCATGTCGCGTTCGTATATATTTATAGAGTTAGACAGGCATAGACAAAATTCCAGCCATAATTACGTCAGATACAAGCAACATTCGGCTGCAGTTTTCAATAGAGGGTCAGGTTATTGAAAGCAACGATTAAACAACAGCTGTAAGATGATCACCTCCACCAGTCGTTACCATATGATCAGAAATATTTCAATTGCACGTGTAGCCACATAGTACATCAATCGTATCATAAAGTGGTGTAACTGTAATCACTTCCTCTTTATATATCTAATCTACTACTAAATCATGTTTATAGTGCCAATGTTGTGATGGCATTTCACAAATAGTATGTGTCATTGTGGTTGAGTGTATTTGCTTGCATACTAGTAAATAGTGTACAGGCTTCGATCACAGACTACGGTGTATGTACGGTAATATGCGTTGAAGATCCGATGAGTTTTTATGTTCTCACATCACTGGGAGCGTCATACAGGCGTCAATGTTATAGTGGCAGCATTGATAAAAACACATATCCATAACGTAACGGCTAATGATGCCCCGTCGGCCGAATTACAGTAAAGGACTGAATGTAGAGTAACGTAAAACGGATGAACTTTTTAGATTATATTACAAGGAATACATAACTTCTGATCTCATCCTGCACCCTTGGAAGTAAAGGATTCCATTTCTATATGCGCGTCAATCGAACACATTTCTAATCAATGGCTATCACATAAGGCAGTGGACGCTTGGAAAATCTTAAGCAATTCGATATTCATCGTATATTACACCACTTGCAAGCCCTCGTCTCATATTTTTTTTTTTTTTTTTTAAACTTTGCCACACGTGAATCAAGTTTTTTTGTATAAGAGCGAAAAGTCAGTCCACGTTCAGCAGTCTTCATTGTTCTAAAATCTGGTGTGTTTTTAACACAATTCTGTGGACTTTCAGCTATTTATAAATACCATTGACACCATCTGAACAATCTGTAAAATTGTTTAATCATTTACAGGCCAAACCATAGCGAAATATATGTTAGGATATGTTTACCCCATAGATAAAAGTGGCATATTGTCGTGTAGGTGTAGAAAAGTGATGATAGTAAAATTAAAATCGTTTCTTTTGTCTGATATAATCTGGTAGAAAGGATGGAGCGGAGCAAGCAGATTTTTATTACCAAATTTAGAAGTGTTGATTGAATGTACGTCACAAATAAATCTTATTTGCACCTTCTGTTTGCAACTAATTTTATCAACGTCAAACTAAAACAAAATTCCAACAACAACAAAATCAGCTAGCAAGAAAGCACCATTAGTTAGCATGGCAACCCTCATACGTTGTTGAAAATATATCCTGCAAAGACGACAAATATGTCAATGAGAAAATCCAGAATACTGACAATATCATTTTCAGTGTAGAAAGGATTTGCATCACTCTTGTTCTCAGCAAAGTAGATAGAATCGTATCCAACCATTATGCATTTGTAGCGACTATTAAAAAAGCTAAATGAACGCGCGATTTAGTAATAATGCAATACATATGCATTCTGCAGCGCTAAATGAAAATACTAGATCTTGATGTTGATTGTGGCATCCCGTCGTGAATCATCCAGCAGACGTAATATGTTAATGTTGACAAATATACATCTCTGTGCTTTATCCACAGACCGATATTAAATTCCTGGTAGCTAGATCAAGGGACAATATGTATAAAAGTCACAGACATTCATGCTTTCTAAAACTGGCACGAATGTTTACTTTTTATCTAGATTGCGGGCGGGGAGTAAAATAAGGATATACAATGTGAAATCAAACTCATTCAGATTATATTGGAGTTTATTAGATCAGCTACTGTGAACATTTATTGTTTTCCTTCGTGTTTTTCCATTATTTGTGTGTGTCTTGTATTTTATTATTTTGTGAAATAACAATAAATAAATAAAAAAAGACAAAAAAAGTTTAAATATACCGTGTGTGCCCAGTCCATACATACCCACCCTTCAGTACACTGTAAAGCTGACTGGGATATACATTTTGACAGATTGTGCCTGAATGTCCAATCAATGTTTAAAATTCTGCATAAATGCACCATATTTTTCTATTTTGGCCTACTACAACTAATGACGCAAGTTTCAGTTCCCGAGCACCACTCTTCGTTCGCAAGCTGCTATTTATAAAAACGATGACTGGGCCACTTACACGGTGAATGGGCCACTTATTCATTCAAAATGCACAGCCTGACAAATATGAAATCATTAATTTAGTCGTTAAGTTGATGATAAGGGTTTAGATGCCAAATCGTTCTGCTGATACAATAGCCTCTTTCCTTTAAATTGTTACAGAGGGACATAATGAACAAACAGTGCATCGGGGACTGTGGTAAGATAGAAAGCATGTGAAATATAGGGGTGGGTATTGCTTGTGTAGTAAGGGACAGGTAATGAATACTCTGGGTGGGCAGAATTTGTAAAAATTCAAAGACAGATAATGAACATGTAGAAGGGTGTCATTCATCACGCCAGGAAAGGTGGGCGAGTTACAAGGGTCAGTCAATGAGGACATACTTTAGATTTTATGTAAATTTTAGGTAAAATAAGTCAGACTGCTGAGCATATAGTTTACCTGTTGGTGTTATTTGTCATAAAAGAATGAAATAAGATTGAATTTCGGCTCACTGGATCGGGGTGCTTAAACCACCATACTAGATTTGTGATTATTTTTTTATAATTGTGGATCGGAAATGACATTAAAAACTTTATCAATATATCGAAGTTTTGTGGACTGTTAGAACAGTAACGAAGAGCCAAAAAGTACTAGTATTACTTTGTCTTGTATTGTTTTTTTTTTCACTTGCTTACATACTGGTTCTGTTGCTATTAAATGGCTTTACTGCTGTGTTACCACTTGGAGGAGGACAAGTTTACCGACAAATATTATCAAAAAAATATTACTCCTCCTGTATAATGAAGTGTTTTGTTGATAAAGAGCTCACTCGTTAAACAGACCCAGATGCAGTGAAGAGCTGCTGCGATTGGCATACATTCCGTATGATTTATGAAAGGATTATATGGCAGACTCTTATAATTAATATTATTATGATTACGGTTATTGTATATTTCATATACTTTTTCGAAATTACTATTGCGTTGTATACTGGATTCTCCATGAAGACTTCTATTGTTTTGCGGCCTGGAGAAATATCGCAAACAAAATTATCCGATCGATTTCGGATTCTCGCGGATAATCATCAAGATAATCACATTAATTTTGATCTATAAACACCCTTGCTATTGCTTATTTAACAGTCAACTCATTACGCCATTGCAGAATCATGAACAAGGCCAATGTAACATGCCGCCAAAACGCAATAGTGGTAACAATAGTGTTTGTTAAAAATGACGCCATTTAGCAGTACGTGATGTAATACATTACACACGAGAACGTTCAAATCGGACTAATTATTTGATAAACAAAAACCAAAAAAAAAAAGCCAGACGTAGCTCTAACTGTTAAAATATTTTGCGCTTTGTTCAGACTTTCTTGGGATTCACAACAATTCACAGCAAATTAACGCCGTTGGTGTTCAAAAAAAGTTGTCGCAATGTCTTCCACGCGCTGTATACCGCGTTCTATGATTACGTTATGAATCAACTACTCCACGTCGTCTGCTTTGTAGAGTACACCGTTCCCGGTAATCCCACTCCATATCGTCAAGTCTCGAGTACACCACTCCACATCGTCTACGTCGGAGTAAGCCTGGTTAATCTATTATTCAGATTATTCCGTGGTTACTTCAGCTCTCTTTATAATAGCCTGGACATGTTGCTCCAATGTTGCTCGTATGGTCAGTGGGTGACCGCAACGTTTAATTTATCTGATAAATATAGCAAGCCACTAATCTGAATATGCTAATTTATCGAACAGTGGGTGACAGTTATACGTTCTACGCACGCGCTGTATCTCTTGCTACTTACAACAAAGACGAAAGTGTGACCGCCCGTTGTTAGTGACGGCAACATTTTCAGACATGCTTGGAAAAGGCCAAATATCCATGAAATAATAGTAAGGTAACCAAGCTACTTCGTAGTACACCACACTACGTAGTCTACTTTAGAGGCATTCCACTCAACATTATATAACATACTGCTTTTTCTATTAGTCATTTCAAAGTTACATTTACGTTACATTCATTTCCAGACTCTATTTTTTTCGTATAATAAAATCACTGTTTGATGATCTTACCACAAGCTGCCTCCGTGACGATAATATTGGCTATTCCTTCTACCAAACAGATGGATGTTGTCGAGCGTACACACTATTATAAGAAACTTGTCTAGTCAAGCAATCCGTTTCTCTCATTGTCATTTACAAATGACACCAATGTCCATTTTAGAAAATCGAATACATTCTTGAATACATTCTGAACATTATACTGTGTTACATCACTTCAGCCCAGTATCAAACACTTGACAATCATTATTTTGATTAAACCTAAGGCGTGGTCGATAACTTATAAGTTATATAAGACACACCATCAGTGACACCATCAGTGACATACCGGTGACCATAACCACAAGAACATCAACTGTGTGACTATGCAATTTTGCATACTTATTTAGATTAACCTAAAAATAAAATTGCCGGCTTCAGGAGAAATTATCACAGAGTGAGAAATATGTGTGGTTTCTAAAAATACAGACCATGGAGTCCAACATTTGACAAAAAAGGTATACATCGCTCTTAGAGGCCAGTGTTGGATAGTATGATTATTTGTACACAAATTTGTAGCACTGAATATATTGTAATAATTAATAATTATATGTACATACGTAATACAGTCGAAGTCATAACTAAACAAGGCGAGAATTAACTAGCCAATGACAACTACATAATTCATATTTTAAAATTCGATATCTTATTAGTTCTTATCAGAAATTGACAATGTCATTACCGTGATTTATTCACAGAGGTCATTCCAAGGGTTCCTGTTTCAACATCAAATAGCTTATCATTGATTTTCTTATCTTCTGTTCCATGTAAATGTGCCCATTCTAATTCTTCAACGATGCCGACCCATTCCATTCCAAACCGATTGTAATTATTATATGGAAATAATTGCTTGTCCCTTTTTGTATAGTCTATATTCTCTGTATTTCTGGTGCAGTCATCACATTTTTTCTGATGTTGTACAATGTGAGTCTTGAGAAATTCCTGCATGTGATTAAGATTTGCATATGAAATGCAAATTTGAGTTAATTTTGTTTCAAATTAATGACAGTTTACCGCACGTGGATAATATGCACAAGAATTTGATTGGCCTCTTTTCTATTGAGTTTGGTATGGGTGTGCTTATGGGGAGGCAGTGTCACTATGACTACGTTATGACATTTTGGGGGTTCCTTGGGATGGGATGATGTGGTGGTAGATTAAGGATTTAAAAAAAAACAGACGACACATGTAATATGCATTGCCATCGTACAATTGTAAATAACACACTTGAAAGAGCTAATCTCCTCACAGATCTTCAAATGTATTTTTGTTCTACTGTATTTACGGAGTGGTTTGAGGTTAAATCAATAAGTCTACACAATACCAATATTAAATTATTATCACTCTACACCCACAATACTGAAATGGTTATCACTCTACACCCACAATATTGAAATGATTATCACTCTACACCCATAATACTGAAATGATGATCACTCTACACCCACAATACTGAAATGATGATCACTCTACACCCACAATACTGAAATGAGTATCACTCTACACCCACAATACTGAAATGATGATCACTCTACACCCACAATACTGAATTGAGTATCACTCTACACCCACAATACTGAAATGATGATCACTCTACACCCACACTACAGAAATGATGATCACTCTACACTCACAATACTGAAATGATGATCACTTTACACTCACAATACTGAAATGATGATCACTCTACACTCACAATACTGAAATGATGATCACTCTACACTCACAATACTGAAATGATGATCACTCTACACTCACAATACTGAAATGATGATCACTCTACACTCACAATACTGAACTGATGATCACTCTACACTCACAATACTGAACTGATGATCACTCTACACTCACCATTTTGAAATGATGATCATTCTACACCCACAATACTGGAAGGATTATCACTCTACAGTCACAGTACTGAAATGATTATCACTCTACAACAACAATACTTAAACGAGTATCACTTTAAATCATCAATACTGAAGTGATTATCACTCTACGCTCACAATACTGAAATGGTTATCACTCTACACCCACAGTACTGAAATGATTATCACTCTACGCCCACAATACTAAATACTGAAGCGATTATCACTCTACATTCACAATACTGAAATGATTATCACTCTACATTCACAATACTGAAATGATTATCACTCTACACCCAAATACTTAAACGGGTATCACTCTAAATCCTCAGTACTGTAACGATTGTCACTCTACACTCACAATACTGAAATGATGATCACTCTACACCCGCAATATTGAAATGGTTTACACTCTATACCCACAATCCTGAAATGATGATCACTCTACACCCACAATAATGAAATGATGATCACTATACACCCACAATACAGAATGGTTATTACTCTGCATTCACAATACTGGAATGATGTTCACTCTACACCCACAATATTGAAATTTTTATCATTCTACATCCACAATAATGAAATGATGATCACTCTACACCCATAATACTGAAATGATGATCACTCTACACCAACAATAATGAAATGATTATCAGTCTACACTCACAATACTGAAATGATTATCACTCTACACTCACAATACTGAAGTGATTATCACTCTACACCCACAATACTGAAATGATGATCACTCTACATCCACAATAATGAAATGGTGATCACTCTACACCCATAATACTGAAGTGATTATCACTCTACACCCACAATACTGAAATGATGATCACTTTACACCCACAATAATGAAATGGTGATCACTCTACACCCATAATACTGAAATGACGATCCCTCTACACCCACAATAATGAAATGATTATCACTCTACACACACAATACAGAATGATTATCACTCTGCATTCGCAATATTGAAATGATTATCACTCTACACCCACAATATTGAAATGATGATCACTCTACACCCACAATAATGAAATGATTATCAGTCTACACTCACAATACTGAAATGATTATCACTCTACACTCACAATACTGAAATGATGATCACTTTACATCCACAATAATGAAATGATGCCCACTTTACATCAACAATACTGAAATGATTATCACTCTACACCCACAGTACTGAAATGATGATCACTCTACACTCACAATACTGAAATGATGATCACTCTACACTCAGAATACTGAAATGACTATCACTCTACACCAACAATACTGAAATGATTATCACTCTACACTCACAATACTGAAATGATTATCACTCTACACCCATGATACTGTGAAATGATTATCACCCTACACTCGCAATACTGAAATGATTATCACTCTACACCCATGATACTGAAATGATTATCACTCTACACCCATGATACTGTGAAATGATTATCACCCTACACTCGCAATACTGAAATGATTATCACTCTACACCCATGATACTGTGAAATGATTATCACTCTACACCAACAATACTGAAATGATTATCACTCTACACTCACAATACTGAAATGATTATCACTCTACACCCATGATACTGTGAAATGATTATCACCCTACACTCGCAATACTGAAATGATTATCACTCTACACCCATGATACTGAAATGATTATCACTCTACACCCATGATACTGTGAAATGATTATCACCCTACACCCACAATACTGAAATGATGATCACTATACACTCACAATACTGAAATGATGATCACTCTACACCCACAATAATGAAATGATTATCACTCTACATCCATGATACTGTGAAATGATGACCACTCTACACTCACAATACTGAAATGATGATCACTCTACAGCCATGATACTAAAAGAATGTTCACTCTACACCCACAATACTGAAATGATTATCACTCTACACCCACAATACTGAAATGATGATCACTCTACACCCACAATAATGAAATGACTATCACTCCACACACACAATACAGAATGATTATCACTCTGCATTCACAATATGGAAATTATTATCACTCTACTCCCACAATATTGAAATGATTATCATTCTACTCCCACAATATTGAAATGATTATCATTCTACACCCACAATAATGAAATGATTATCATTCTACACTCACAAAACTGAAATGATTATCACTCTACACTCACAATACTGAAACGATTATCACTCTACACTCACAAAACTGAAATGATTATCACTCTACACCCATGATACTGAAATTATTATCACTCTACACTCACAATACTGAAATGATTATCACTCTTCACCCACAATACTGAAATGATGATCACTCTACACTCACAATAATGAAATGATGATCACTCTACACCCAGAATACTGAAATGATGATCACTCTACACCCACAATACTGAAATGGTTATCACTCCATGCCCACAATACTGGAATAATTTTCACTCTACACTCACAATACTGAAATGATGATAACTCTACACCCACAATACTGAAATGATGATCACTCTACACTCACAATACTGAAATGATCACTGTACACCCATAATACTGAAATGATTATCACTTTACACCCACAATATTGAAATGATTATCACTCTACAATACTGGAATGATTTTCACTCTACACTCACAATACTGAAATGATTTTCACTCTACACCCACAATACTGAAATGATGACCACTCTACACCCACAATACTGAAATGATTTTCACTCTACACCCACAATACTGAAATGGCTATCACTCTATGCCCACAATACTGGAATGATTATCACTCTACACCCACAATACTGAAATGATGGTCACTCTACACCCACAATACTAAAATGGTTATCACTCTATGCCCACAATACTGGAATGATTTTCACTCTACACTCACAATACTGAAATGATTTTCACTCTACACCCACAATATTGAAATGATGATCACTCTACACCCACAATACTGAAATGATGATCACTGTACACCCACAATACTGAAATGATGATCACTGTACACCCACAATACTGAAATGATTATCATTCTACACCCACAATACTGAAATGATGATCACCCTACACCCACAGTACTGAAATGGTTTCCACTCTACGCCCACTATACTGAAATGATGATCACTGTACACCCTCAATACTGAAATGCTTATCACTTTACACTCACAATACTAAAATGATTGTCACTCTACACCCACAATACTGAAATGATTATCACTGTATGCCCACAATACTGAAATGATGGTCACTCTACACCCACAATACTGAAATGATGACCACTCTACACCCACAATATTAAAATGATGATCACTCTACACCCACAATACTGAAATGATGATCACTGTACACCCACAATACTGAAATGATTATCACTTTACACTCAGAATACTAAAATGATTGTCACTCTACACCCACAATACTGAAATGATGATCACTATACACCCACAATACTGAAATGATGATCACTGTACACCCACAATACTGAAATGATGATCACTGTACACCCACAATACTGAAATGATTATCACTTTACACTCAGAATACTGAAATGATTGTCACTCTACACCTACAATACTGAAATGATTATCACTCTACACCCACAATACTGAAATTATTATCACTCTATGCCCACAATCCTGGAATGATTTTCACTCTACACTCACAATACTGAAATGATTTTCACTCTACACCCACAATACTGAAATGGTTATCACTCTATGCCCACAATACTGAAATGGTTATCACTCTACACCCACAATACTGAAATGATTATCACTCTACACCCACAATACTGAAATTATTATCACTCTATGCCCACAATCCTGGAATGATTTTCACTCTACACTCACAATACTGAAATGATTTTCACTCTACACCCACAATACTGAAATGGTTATCACTCTATGCCCACAATACTGAAATGGTTATCACTCTACACCCACAATACTGAAATGATTATCACTTTACACTCACAATACTGAAATGATTTTCACTCTACACTCACAATACTCAAATGATTTTCACTCTACACCCACAATACTGAAATGGTTATCACTCTATGCCCA